TGCAGCGAGCCTTACACCGATCGATTGGTTGATCAGGAGGCGTTTTTATGGACGGCCCCCGAAGTCCTCAGGAATTATTTAACGTCGCAAACAGGACAACGATCACAGCCAATGGAAGGTCCCCGCCGGTACTTAGATGTCCGGTACTCGTCTTTCCCATAGGGCTGGCCTCCCGGTGGGTTTGCATGGTGACTGTGACCAAGTGCTTCATCCAGGGCCCTTCAGATAGCACCGCCCTCTCCTTCCAGATGCTCCACGTGAACACTGACGACTCTCAAGGTTGAGCGCACACGACTCCTCACATGAGAGGACTCTCAAAACAGAACACATCCTCACGGTAAGAAGTGTCGAAGAGGGTAGATAAGGTTAGGTGCAACGTACCTCAAAATAGTTGCCCCCAACCACAAATATTCTAAATTTCTCACTAGATGACCCGATGCCAATTGTGATGACCAATCATCATAGTTGCGGCGCACCTCGGTGCGCAGATTTGCGCACGATTTGCGCACCACGCGCAGCGCACCAAAGCGCAGCGCACTTGAAAAATTAGGTCACAAAAAAAAAAAAAAGTAGGGGTTTCATAATTTCTTAGGGCCCCCAACTCGACAAAAATGTTAAACTCACCACGCAAGCTCGCAAACCAGCCGCGCCCACGGCCCAAACTTTTCTTTTGGGTAAGGGCTGCCGAAATTTCAATTTCCGCAGGCCCTTCCCCCAAAAGTTTTATTATAGCGAGGCACAAAATAGGGATCATTCCAACTTTTGTTTTAGGCGGGTATGAAAGTTGTCCTTCCCGCTGCCTTCTGCAAATCCCACACAGTAGTGGGTGAGTTCGCAAGAAGGGGCAGTCGCCTACTAACAACCAGCCCCGCGAAATCTCGTAGAATTCACAAATTACATGTTCTATCGCCAGCCGACCACCAATATATGCTGAAGATTGGCGTTCAGGTCCCCATGTCGGCAGTTATGGGTCGGCAGTTTTGTTTTTGTTTTCTTACGAATACTTCAAGTGGGGATGCACAAACGACAGAGCATATGGCGGTGTATGGTTCCATATTTTCGCATAAGATTCATTATGCCTGGTGCTCTCTCGTTTTTTTGTTTTTGTTTTCTTACGAATACTTCAAGTGGGGATGCACAAAAGACATAGCATATGGCGGTGTATGGTTCCATGTTTTCGCARAAGATTCATTATGCCCGTGGCTCTCTCGTTTTTTTGTTTTTGTTTTCTTACGAATACTTCAAGTGGGGATGCACAAAAGACATAGCATATGGCGGTGTATGGTTCCATGTTTTCGCAAAAGATTTATTCTACTAATATTATATACATTTGGTGAGTGGTGGAGGGAGGCCCTGAAAATCAAGTGTAGACACGAACAGGGTCAACCTGAATTGGTGACCCATAACTGCCGAGCTACAGCCCTGATCTCGAATCCACCGCATATATTGGTGGTCTGCCCACATTTCTCCCACACGTGACAAGGTCATCCTTCTCATTGAAGGTGGCCCTCAATGGCTCCACATGTATTGTAGGAGCCATTCGAGGTACCTGCGGGGGGCCTTGAATTGACGTGAAGCAGACATTTTGTTCTCTCTCTCTCTCTCTCTCTCTCTCTCTCTCTCTCTCTCTCTCTCTTGGGGCCTTTTTTTTTTTTTTTTCGCGCACAGGGATCAACTCCCTCAGCGCGTGAACCATGCACAACAGACCGCATTGGGTACTGCGCACAGCGCACGGCGCAAAGTGCGCGCGCTGTCGTTCCATTGCACAGCGCAGTGCGCACCGCCCAGTACAGCACTGCGCACTGGTGCGCCGCAACTATGCCAATCGCTGCTTCGGCACAACCAACATTACACCGACGTTCCACCTCAGCATCAATCGCACATCAGATAGTTCTAATCACACTGCGAACACCCAATATTCACCATGCAGCCTTCTTGGCGATCCCCTCTCCACCTGGCTCGCCTTCTTATCTTCGCCCTCCTCACTACACACTCCCACGACCGCTAGCCCAGTTGTTGCATGCTGAGCCTGCACACGGGCCCCATTTGAGGGGCCCAACGGTTGCTGAGAGGCCCCAGGCCGCGTACTATCCAGCACGCGCCCTGAAGGCCCACGACGGCCCTCCAGGCCCTAGGCAGCACGTAGGTAGGTAGGTTTTCGTTTACTTACCCCTTTTCTGTGTGTGTGTGCTATCTTATTTTTGTCTGTTCAGGTGTCGTTTCGGATTCACAGCCCCAAGGCCGTACATTGGGACCAGGTACACCGGAGGCAGACCCGAAACGAGGCCAGGCGCATTTTGGCGCCAAACCGGCGTCGTTTCGGTCCTGCAGGACCCAAGACAG